CTTCCTTGATAGTTACTGCAGTGGTTGTAAATCAGAGTTCATGTTTTTTTTTTTTGAGACAGAGCCTCAAGCTGTCCCCCTGGGCAGAGTGCCATGGCATTACAGCTCACAGCAACCTCTAACTCCTGGGCTCAAGCGAGCCTCCTGCCTCCGCCTCCCAAGTAGCTGGGACCACAGGCGCCCGCCACAACGCCTGGCCATTTTTTGGTTGCAGCCGTCATTGTTGTTTGGCGGGTCCAGGCCGGGGATTTGAACCCGCCATCCTAGGTGTCCGTGGCTGGCGCCCTAGCCGGTTGAGCCATAGGCGCCGAGCCCAGAGTTCATGTTTTAAAATTATTTTTTAAATGTCAGAATATTACAGAGGTACATACATTTTTGTTACATAGGTTGCTTTCACGTTTCTTCAGTCAGAGTTACATAATTGTGCCCCTCACCCAGACAGTGTGCAGTGTACCCCACCCAGTGGTCATGCAACATATGACCACTGGGTGGCATTTACCCCTCCTCTCCTCCCCACTTCCACCCTCTTGAATTTCACTGAGTTTTGCTTCCATTTGGGCTCAAAAGTGCTGATCAACTAGTTCCAGTGTAGTTCTGAGTATAGGTAGTGTTTGTTTTTCCATTTTTGACGTACTTCACTTAGGAAAATGGTCTCCAATTCCATCTAGATTGTGACAAAAGATACTAGATCACTGTCTTTTTTATGTCTGAGTTGTATTCCATGGCAGACATGTACCACATTTTATTGATCCATTCATGCATTGATTGGTGGTTGTTTCCACATCTTTGCAATTGTGATTAGTGCTTCTATAAATATCCAGGTGTGAAGTTCATTTCTTATGTGTGGTCTTTCTACATGTTGTTGTTGTTATTATTATAATTTTGGCTTAAGTCACTCAGTGTTGTTTGTAATAGGAAGAGTCCTGATTACTACAGAGAGGGAGTTTGGGGGCAATTTGAAAATGAGCTTAGTGACAGCAGGCTGGTTGAAAAAGTGAAAGAAACATTACAGAGGATAACTAGTATTTCTGAACACCTACTTTTTACCAGGACCATCTTATTTAATCCTCAACAAATTATGATTTAAACCTCTTTACTTTTCAAGTGCGAAATGGACTCTCATTAGGCAAGTAGGTTGCCTCAAGTAGTAAATCCAAGGATTTAAACTTCAGTCTTCTGTTGGGTCTGAAGTTTCTGCTGTTAGGTTGTGCTACTTCGCTCCTTCTCTGTCACCGGCTGGTGGCCACCATACTGTGAGACTCAGTAAGGTTCAGAGAGAAACTGTCTTCATGCTTCCTGCATCTTTTCACAAGGTCGCTGTGAACATGTGCTAACGGATCCCTTGTGGCAGATTCACTGGTTGATTTTGTGCCTACACCTTTTTAAAGAGCAGTTGTGATTTGGATAAAACTTAATATTGAGTCCCTGACCAGATTTTTTTCTCATCTTCATGATATCATTTTGAAAACACCCAGTGTTCAAAAAGGACGTATGAGGTCAACAATAATTATGATAGATAATTAATTCTGCCACACAAATTGATCTCTAAAGCTCACATCTCATGGTCGAAGAGGTATCACATCTTGGTGTTCGTATGTGTTAAAATGAGCAGTAAGAAAACAAATGATCTGTGTGTTATTGAGGGATTGTTTGGTGGGAAAGTTATTTTAAAATGTTAAGAAAAAAGTTCTTTCCCTAGGGATGATCATGGGGTAGGGAGAGAAACAGTTTTTATAAGGATGGGATAGCTTTGCAGAACCAATGAGAAAATGGCCTGATTTGAGGGCTAATCTCCACCAGAACCAGATTGCATTGCTTTAGCTGAGAAAGAATGTTTTCTTCTTTTTCCTCCACAGATGCTTAGGAAAGTTCACTGCTGTCTGGATCTGGATGAAATAATTCAAACAAATGCATCTTTCCTCTCATGTAAGATCCTTGTTCAGAACTCATTTCTCACTTATTCCCCATTTTTCTATCATTCTCCCTGAGAAACTTGTAGTAAAGCTAACCATGCTTTACTGGTGGTACAATTATCTCTGCCCCTAAGGAAGCACCCTCGGTCTGTAAGACTTAGAGGATATTTCTTTAACATTTGTGTGTCTAAACTTTGTGCAGCTTGGCACAGCGAGATGTTGCTGGATGGTTACCATCGTTGGCAGGGCTGGCCCAGCCCAGAGGCTCATGTTTTATGAATTTGTTGTGGTCTATCATGTGTGAATTTGGTTAACACCTCATTAATTTATTAAAGTCAAAGAACAAAAAGCTGAATATAATAGTGGCTGCCTTCCCAGAACAGCTTCCCACAGATGGCTAAGTGAGTTTAGTAAACAAAATAAAACAACACAAAAACCAAAGGTATCATTTGGCCTGACTGCTGATGGTAGCTTCTAAAATGTCATATATTTTTTTAATATCTTGGAGCAGTAAAAGCTGATCTTTCTGTAGTCATCAGTGTTGCTTTCAGCAATTGTCAAGGCAGAAATTTTGTAATAATGGGCAACCAGGAGTCTTCACTGGGTTTTGTCTGTTTATTTTGTTTTATTTATTTATGTTTTTGAGATAGAGTCTCACTTTGTTGCCCTCAGTAGAGTATTGTGGAGTCATAGCTCACAGCAACCTCAAACTCTTGGGCTCAAGTGATCCTCTTGCCTTAGTTTTTCATTTTTAGTAGAGAAGGGGGTCTCACTCTTGCTCAGGCTGGTCTTGAACTTGTGAGCTCAAGTAATCCACCCACCTCAGCCTGCCAGAGTGCTGGGATTACAGGCATGAGCCGGTTTTGTCTGTTTAAAGTTGCACATGGAAGGCTGGGTGCAGTGGTTCACACCTGTAATCCTACTTTCCTAGGAAGCCAACACCAGTGGATTGCTTGAGCTCAAGAGTTGGAGACCAGCCCAAGCAAGAATCAGACCCCCTCTCTAAAAATAGCTGAGCACTGTGGCATGTGCTTGTAATCCCAGCTACTTGAGAGGCTGCGGCAAAAGGATCACTTGAGCCCAAGAGTTTGAGGTTGATATGAGCTATGATGCCATGGCACTCTACCCAGGGTAACAAAATGGGACTGCCTCAAAAAAAAAAAAAAAAAGTTGCACATGGCTTCTTAGGGGAAGATTTTATCTGATGGCCATGTGGGTAGAAATGATTTCAAGATGGTGACATGTAAACTTTGGTGTAAAGGAGGAATATTAGTATTTTTCTTGCAGTGAGCAACTTACTGGTTTATTTTAAAAATTATGAAAACTTTCATCCATGTAAGCAAATATTTATAAGAAGATTAGCAAAATAGCACCTGTGTACTTGCTATTCAGTGTGAAAACTAGAATGTTACCAACACTGTTAACACCTTCCATGTGAATCTTTCTCCCCAGCCTCATTTCCTTCCCACCCCATGCACTACCCCGACCCCGAAACCACTGCCCTGCCCCCAAACCACTACCCAGCTTCCCGAAACCGCTACCCTGAATTGTGTGTTTATCATTCCAGTGATTTTCTTGTCCAAATATGTATGATCTATAAACAAATATATTGCTTAGTTTTGCATTTAGAAAGTTTTATACACCAATATCTACTTATTTCTCTAATTTGCTTTCTTATCCCTTAGTCTTTAATGTCTGGCAGGTGGGATTTGTTAACACATCTGGGCTGTGCAGATCCGTGACTAGGAATTCAATGGAGGAGCCAGAAAAACTGAAGTCTTGAGAAATAGAATCTGTGATCAAAGAAGAAAGGTGTTGGGTTGATTTATATACAAACTAAAAGGTGGCTATCATGTTATAAATACATATATCTTAACATAAGTATATATGAAACAAATGCTTTTATAATGGATTATTATAGAAGACTCAGAATTCAAACAGACCTGGATTCAAATCCTACTTTCACCACTGTAGAGAATCCCTAAAAAAAAAAAAAAAAATTATTATTATTTGCCTTTGGAAAAGGTAGGATGAAATTCATTCTGAAAAATTGAAGACTTCGAATAAGTAAAACATAGCCTACCTCCCAGGATGTGTCTTGGAAAGATTGTTCAGGCTGAAAATATTTTGTCCTAGGGTCCTTGTGGGATGTGGGGGGTGTGGTGAGATAGGGATGGGCAGTGGGAATGAGACATTTAATACATTTTCCTTCTTTCTGGTTTGGCCTCTTTCTTTTTAAATGTGTCTAGTAATAAGCTTAATTCAACTGGCCGTGGTGGATGAGTTAGGGAAAATTTTAATGTGCTCCCGATTAATATTATTTGGACCAACCACATACTTGCCATGATGCTCATCAAGCTTCCTGTCTTTCTACGACTTAGTTTCCTCATCTGTAACACTGAGTTCCTATGTGAATTGTGATGAGGCTGGACAAATGAGGTTATCCATGTGAAAAGCTAGGTACAATGCCGTGTTGTCCACGGTCAGGTTATTGGTACTACTACTATTATTTATTTATTTATTTATTTATTTCTGAGACAGAGCCTCAAGCTGTCACCCTGGGTAGAGTGCTGGGGCATCACAGCTCACAGCAACCTCCCCTCCAACTCCTGGGCTCAAGTGATTCTCCTGCCTCTGTCTCCCAAGTAGCTGGGACCACAGGTGCTCACCACAACACCTGGCTTTTTTTTTTTAGTTGCAGCCATCATTGTTGTTTGGTGGGCCCAGGCTAGATTCAAACCCGCCAGCTCAGGTGTATGTGGCTGGCACCTTAGCCGCTTGAGCCATAGGTGCCAAGCTGGTACTATCATTATTATTGCTATGATTTATTTCAAAGGCTCAATTTAAGAGTCACTGTGGAAGTCTTCCCTGACTTTTCTTTGTTCCTTCCTGGTGACAGAATCTGTTCCCACATCTCTTGTGTAGTATGTTTGAATGGCTTGTTTGTTTATTTAAGCATTTACTGCTTATATCCTTTATAGCTTATTATAGTGCAAAGCCTGCTTACTTGTGAGCTCCTTGAGGACAGTAATAGTACCCAACTTCAAAGCAAGGCTACCATACATTTGCTCAATATATTTTGCTGAAGAGGGAAGTCCCGAGACAAAGGGAAGCGCCGCCGCCGCCCCGCTGTCCCACTTAGCCCTCCGCAGCGGCCATCTGAGGGACTTTAAATATGTCGGGGATCGCCCTCAGCAGACTTGCCCAAGAGAGGAAAGCCTGGAGAAAAGACCACCCTTTTGGTTTTGTGGCTGTCCCGACAAAAAATCCCGATGGCACAATGAACCTCATGAACTGGGAGTGCGCCATTCCAGGAAAGAAGGGGACTCCGTGGGAAGGAGGTTTGTTCAAGCTGCGGATGCTCTTCAAAGATGATTACCCATCCTCACCTCCAAAATGTAAATGTGAACCACCATTATTTCACCCAAATGTGTACCCTTCAGGCACAGTGTGTCTGTCCATCCTGGAGGAGGTCAAGGACTGGAGGCCAGCCATCACAATTAAACAGATCTTATTAGGAACTTCTAAATGAACCAAATGTCCAAGACCCAGCTCAAGCAGAAGCCTACACGATTTACTGCCAAAACAGAGTGGAGTATGAGAAAAGGGTTCGAACACAAGCTAAGAAGTTCGCACCCTCATAAACAGCGGCCTGTGACATCGCAAAAAGGAAGGGAATGGTTTGGCAAGAACTTGTTTACAACATTTTTGGAAATCTAAAGTTGCTCCGTACAATTACTAGTCACCCGGGGAGGGTTGGGTGGGTGCCATCTTCCATTGCCGCCACGGGGACACAGTTCTTGATTCGCTGAATTGCCCAGATTTTCATACATGGTCTCTTCCTTCAGTCTTTTGTATTTTTGATTGTTAGGTAAAACTTGCTTTTATTTTAATATTGATGTCAGTATTTCAACTGCTGTAAAATGATAAACTTTTCTACTTGGATAAGTTCCTGGAGCTAGCTCCCTCTCTGGTGCAGGCACGCTTCACACCCTAGGGCTGCACTTGGCCTCCCGCTGGCTGCTGGCTGCGTGGGAAACAAAATCACACTAGTCCCTCCCTCCACCTTCCTTCTCTTCAGAATCTGGGTTGTATTGCTTTTGAGCCTCAGATCCAAAGCCAGCCAGCGTCTGATTCGCATCACTTCCTTTGTGTTTGTATGGCGTTTTGTCTGTGTTGCTGTTTAGAGTAAATAAACTGTTTATATAAAAAAATATATATTTTGCTGAAGGATTGAATGAAAATTAATATTGTTTAAGATACGAATGTTATGTTTACTAACCATGAGCACCGTGAAAAGACCCTCTTGCTTTCAAACAATTTGTAAATGACAGTTGTCCCTAAGCAGCAGAACTAGAGAGCATCCTGGCCATCAGGGCCTTGATCACCACAGAAAGGGAGGCAGAATGAGACACAGGACGGTCCACTAGGAAAACACATGTTGCCCTCAAGGAATGCCTAAAACGGAGTACTGAAAACAACAAGTTTTCTGTGACCTTTCTTAATTTGGTTAAAAGTTGCAGTCTGTTCTATTGTTCTCCTGCCCTCAGGCCCTCAGGAAGGGCAACCCTTGAGGTGTCCGGAAAGGTCTGTATCTGGTGCCCTCACCGGGGTGAGACACTCTAGGCGCTGAGTTAAAGTTAAAATGTTCCTTAGTATTAGCAACTGCTTTGGTGTGCATGTTTTAGGTTTAACCTAATGGCCTTTTAAATTTAGTCCCACCCCCCTTTTTGTGTTGTTCCTCTCTGAGAACTGTCTTGAGCAGGCAGAGGAGGAAGGTGAGCCAGCCATATCTGGGAGCAGGATTAGGTGCTGTTTGTATCGCTGGTCCAGCATGTGGAGTCCTAGGGGAACTCCAGAGAGGCCAGTGAGATGTCTGGAGAACCGAGGCAACTTGTTTGTTTTTCTACAGAATATGCCAGGAGCCAGACAACATCCCCTGAAGAATAACATTAGTAAGTGGCACCTTTTATCAGGGGAGCTCAAAGCATTTGTGAAGACTTACTCATCCAGCTGTAAGCCACACCTATGTTGTATCTATGGCTCATATAGAGATTAATAAACCACATTTTAGCAGGTTTGACCCTGTGACTCAAAGGGAGGCTGGGGAATGGATAGTTACAGATCCCAGGTTCCAAGTCTTCTCAGTGGCAGCGCATGAAATGCCAAGAAGTGGCTGTAAGCACCATTGTTATCTTTTTTTTTAATTTTTTTATTTATTTTTATTTTATTTTTATTTTTTTTATTGAATGGTAACTGTGTACATTGATGCACTTTGGGGGTACAGTGTGGTGTTTTCACACACAATCCAAGACACTTCCATCAAACTGGTTAACATAGCCTTCATGTAACTTTCTTAGTTATTATGTCAAAACATTCATATTCTACTCATAGAAAGATT